CTCTCCCAGATCTCGCTCGCTCACTCACTCGCCTTTCTCACTTTATACAATTGATCTTTTTGTATATGTATACCAAAGCAGATTATACAACTATTTTTTTTTTTGTATATGTATAGCGAATTATACATATATATGTTTGCTATGGAGCACAATTATACAAACTTTGCTATAGCATACAAATATGAATTTTGTGTTTGCTATATTTGAAAGTTGCTCTTTTTAAAAATTGGTGGTTCTATATATCAATTTTTGCATTATAATTCTAGCATAACAAAACATGTGATCAAATGATCCTTTAGTTGAGAAGGAAAATGTCTTAATAAGTTATTGGAGTACAAGAAAATAATTAAAACATAAAAGTATTATAAATAATGAACATAATACATGGACTTTGTTATAGTTTGGCCATTTTAAATTGCAAAAAAAATCGCCATTCGATTTATAACCTCCCATGAATCAAAAGGCATAACATGAATTAATGTAGCAAAATATTTGAGTCCATGCCCCTAAATCTCTCCCACAAACCCTAAAACGCATCTAACGTTCAACACTTAGGGTTTGCTCAACTATTTCGATTGAAATCATGTGTCGGATTTCTTAATTAGCACTATTTACCTTCAAATCCTTTAACAAATGACTAATAAAAGTGTAATTGACGAGAAAATTAACACAATTTTTGGAACGATTTTTTGTATTTTGATTAACACTTACATGCAGAATTACAAATTAAAGGAAATATCGGAAAGGAGTACAAGTATATCGAATCTAATCCGGCTTCATGCGATTGATACCTAGAAAAGAAGAAGAGAAGGAAGAGGTTATAAGGAAGAAGACATTAGAAACGAGGCAAAAACAGATAGGAAAATGGTTCGAGGAAGATACTGAAAAACTAGTATTATTAGAAGAGCGAATTTGAGGAGCTTAAGGTCAGTCGGTCAATTCACCGATTTTCCGTTCTCCTCAAATTCCTTCTATTTTATATTTAATACTTATTTGTTTATTTTCTTTCTTAGTATATTATGTATTTAAAATTACTTACAAAAAGTTTGGTTAACTCTCAAAATTTCACCTATGCCACATAAATTGAGACTGAGGGAATAACATATATCATTAAAAATTACGTTAAAAGTAATATAAAGTCACAATGATTAACAACTTAAAATATTTTAAAAATATATTAAAAATTTGATCAACTTCCGAAATGCCATTTTGAGGAGCTTAGGCTCAATCAGTCAATTGACCGATTTGCCCTTCCCCTCTAATTTCCTCTATTTTATATTTAGTATTTCTTTATTTATTTTCATTTTTGGTATATATGTATTTAAAAATTACTTATAAAAATTTGGTTAGCTCTCAAAATTTCACATATACAACATAAATTGGAACTGAGGGAATAACATGTATTATTTAAGTATTGCATTAAAAGTACTATAAATCACAATAATTAATAACTTAAAATATTTAAAAAAAACATATGAAAATTTGATTAACTTTCGAAATTCCATCTAAATTGAGACAGATGAGCTAACATCTATTATTTGAAAACTACGCTAACTAAAGGCAGTGGCGGATGTATGTTATGGATTATGGGTGCTTAAGCACCCATTGCTTTTTGCAATTAACACTAATATTTGTTTGTAATATCTAATAATTCATTCAAATATATTAACTAAGCACCCACTTTATATAGCAATTCTCAAACTAAAAATAATTGAGCACCCATGAAATAAAATTTCTGAATCCGCCACTGACTAAAGGTACCATAAATAACAATAATTTACAACTTAAAATATTTTTAAAAATGCATTAAGAATTGATTAACTCTCAAAAATTCTCATGTGCCACATATCTCAATAATCAACAACTTAAAATATTTAAACAAATATATTAAAAAATTAATTAACTCTTAAAATATCACATGTGCCACAAATATTATTTGAAAAGTACGCTAAAATATTATATAAATAATTAAAGAAAAAAATATGTAAAAAATTTGTTGACTCTCCCAGTTCTATCTGTGTCACATAAATTGAAACAAATAAAATAATATATATTTGGCTCAAGTTTACTCGGCTTTTGTATCTAGTGTTTTTATGAAACCAAACAAAACCTTGTTAACCAAAACTAATTACCTTTTAAAGAGCTTTTTATAAAATATTAACTATCTTTAAACATATATGCAATATATATGTATTACAAATAAATTAAAATGTATTATACTTGTTTTGATTTTAAAAACTGGACTCTGATGAAAACGAACTACACATGTAATATAGACGCATTACACTGTATAAAAATAAGATTTGCATGTAGTAAGTATATTTATTATAAGTGTCTTAATATATAATAAGATTGTTTAGGTAAAAAATCAGCAGTATGTAAGTTTACAATTCACTTGCATTAATAAACTAAGTTTACAATTCTACCTTTATTATGTTTTTTAAACTCTACTTTTCAATAAATGATATATAAATTCATCTTCTAGTTTAAATTTGTTTGTTGAGATTTCTTTTTTAAAATCAGATTTTATAGAGTAATGCTAGGAGTGTCAACCGGACGGTTCGGTCGGTTATTTTCAAAAAATTATACCATCCCAATTTTTTGGATTTTTTTTATAATGAATAACCAAAATTAAATTTTTTAAAACCATCTCAATCATATCGATTTCTCTTCGGTATCGGTACAGTTCGGTTAATTTTTTCTTCTTTTTTTTCCTTTTAAAATATCACCTCAAATAACTCTATTATTAAAATATTTCTTTCGCAAATATGTTATTGAAGAAGCACTTCAATTCTTCACCAAGAAGTCAAGAATGTAAAACCTTGTGTTGTAATCTTTGATCTTATTCTATCATTAAAATATTTCTTTCGCAAGTATGTTCTTGAATAAGCACTTTAATTCTTTACCAAGAAGTCAAGAATGCAAAACATTGTTGCCGTATTGTTTGATCTTAATCATTTAATAGGAGTATTTGCATAAGTTTGCTCTATTGTTTGATAGAGTATCTATTATAGTATCTTTTAAATTTAAATCTAATTAATTAAACTCCAATTAAAGAGCAAAGACCCAAAGTCATCCAGTCATTAGAGGCCTAAGATCTATGTAATATTTATATTTGAAAAATGTTATAAAATATTTTTAAATATTAAATTTAACATATTGTTAATATATAAAATATATTTACATACACGTAAGGTTATTTGGTTCGGTTCAATTTTTTTTTTGATTTTTTCATAAATGAAAAGGACCATCCGAATTGTTCGTTATATACTTAAATAAAAGTCCACAATTTTATTGAAGAAAGACATAAATCGATTTAGTTCGATCAATTCGATCGATTTTTCATATTCTTTTGACACCCCTAAGTAATGCAATGGTGAGAGTAATTAATTAATGTATGAAGTAATTACAATGAATATTAATTACTTATTAATTTTCCCAAGTTGATCAAATATTTATTTTCAAGGTTAATTAACTATCAAGGGTTATAATAGGAAGAATATTATAATTTATGCATTATTTTATGAAATAACAAGTATTATGGACCAACTATATATAGTAAGGAAGACATAAAAAGGAATGGTGAGAGTAAAAATGAATAGTACATGTATTAAAATTATATAGCTATAAATAGTAAATATTTTCTTTTCCCATAATTTAATTGATTTGGTTCAGTTTTCAATTTGGATGGGTTTTAACAAACGATGAACACCCCTAATGAGAGTCATAGGAATGTATTAGTAACTCTGCTTGTTAGAATTTGTATTAGAAGCTGCACTTGTACACTTAAATAAGATAGGGATAATATTTGTGTTATAATCCAAATCAAAACCACAAAGCCGTTCCAACAGTATTCATACTCCCTTTCAATGGATAGACGGTAAGCATTCGCGTATCTGCAAGCGATTTTCACAAGGGAGCTTAACAAACATAAACAGCATTGATCGTATTCCTTTTCCAGACCCAAAGAGTTGGGGAGCACTGTGACCTTTGAACTTTGGATGGTGGTGGTTGGAAGGTAGATTAGATAAATGATCTACCGATGACATTAGGGGGCGGGGAATGGGATTTCACAAAATCTAAGCTTGGACTCCAGGGACTCACAAGTTATAGTTATCTAGTCCTAGATCCCTAAGAGCATCAGTTGCAGCATTCTTACAGCTCTTGTAATTCATCTTAGCCTTTCTTATAAGCTTCTCAATGCCATTACCAAGCAAAATAGTTCTGCAAAAAACATTCACAATGTCAAACTTACTTAGTTCCTACGAGACTGGCCGAGAAAAAACTTCCTGACAACCAGCATTTGCACCAAACCACATTACTTTCCCATGATTAAGTGATAAGAGTTTTAAGTAGATGTATTGGTTTGGTACAGATGCCAGGTGCAGATAAGTTTTTTTGCAACCGTCTACCCTTACAAACTGGCACATCAAATCCTTAACATATCAGCAGCAAGCAAATAACAAGTCTAGTGGTGGGGCACTTGCCTGTTTTCTGGATTCCTAACCACAAGATTTCGGATCATGAAACAAGAGCTTCTTTGCAGTAGCTCTGATTCTGGAAACCTCTGCATAGCTTGGATAACAATATCACCAGCTCCGGCTTCAATTGCACATGCAGCATTATGTGGAGACCTCAAGGACAATACAGTTATCATAGACATAACCTGAAACATGGAAAGAGTAGCAAAGAGGTCTTTTGGTGCCTAAATTGTATACATGCAGATAGTTCTGTACCTATTGAGGTGTTCACAAAGATATATGGAATTAATAGGACTTTCCTATGCAATGACACGAATGAAAAGAAAAAAAAAGAAAGTACACCTTGTCCACTGGGATACTGTTTGTAAAATGCAAAAGGAAAGGAGGTTTGGATATAAAAAAAATGTAAAGAAACCACAATCTTGTAATGCTTGCAAAATATGATTCCAAACTAGCTTTTGAGTTTAATGATCTTTGGACTATGTGATTCGCAGCAAGTATATTCAAAATCAAACTTAGTCGAATTGGCTACCTAAGCAAAATGCTTCCCATTTTTGGAGAAGTCTTATGAAAGCTAAGCCTTTTTTTTGCTTTTTGATATTGAAAAGCCAAGCCTGTTTTGATATTGACTCGGGTAGACATTTCATTACCGCATCTGATGTGATGATGGATGAGAATTGGATCTATCTTCTACAATTTATTATCTTGACTCATCTGACAAAATTATTGGTTTATCCCATTTTATTGCAAATAATGTTGTATTTGTAGATAAAATCATTTGAAATGGAACAGGTAATGGGAAGTTCAGCACCAAATCAGCATACGAGATAGCTTGTGACGATGAAACACCCCAAATGACAGAAGATGGACTGATATATGAAAAATTCGGATTCCTGAAAAAATGAAATGTTTTATATGGCTTGCAAGACATAATAAACTTATATCAATGGTATTACCTCATGTAGCACAGCCGGATCATCGGAAAATCTCATTGCAAGTTTCATAAGCTTGTCCATGCCATCCTTATCTACAATAGCACTCTTGTTTATGTCACTTCCTGCCAACTGCTCACTATAATATATTAAAATTTAATTTTAAGAAAGGAAGAATAGCAGATAATCAATTCATGGGGACCAAAAGAAAGCTGAAGTTCCTATTCCACATGCACAACCAGAAAACTTGATAAGTAATGACAAACAAAATTAAACATGATTCAGAATATTCAATCTACTTACGAGAAAAAAAAACAATTTATACATCAAAAACCAAATTTAATGTATACAAATATGCTATGAACAAAATTTTAGGAATTGCACCTGATAGCCAGTTTTGACCCTTTTATTTAAACTATATCCATCTCAAATCATTTAACTTGTAGCTAGTATTGACAAACTTCAGATAAAGTCTGTATACTCCTCTGCTTCTCCTTCTTCATAGTTGTTGCTTGAGTAAAGGTGTGGCCCAAGTTGCTTATTGCTACGTTGGCATTGAATTTAATGAAAATTATGTTGCTAGCTTACATAGTGAATACGCAACAAATGATCCCAAGCATGATTCATTGAAGTACAGTACCAAAGAATACAACATTGAGTTAAGAACTCAGCGTTTATGAGGAAGAAACTTGCATTGATATCCTAGAGGTCTTCTCTATTATATTATTTACCTCTACTAGAGCCCTATGCAATGATGGAGAAGGATGAGTGGTCAACTATGTTTCAATGTCCTAATCACCACTAGAATGACCAGAAAGAAGGTATTGATCGGGGTCTGAAGTTAGGTCCCCCAAACTTCAAACATACAGGTCTGAAGTTTTGGACTGCCAGGCCAAACTTCAGAAAAAATATCTGAAGTTTCAAACTGACAGGACAAAGCTTCTAACAAAATGTCTGAAGTTTGTTTGCTCCAAATTGATTAACATTTGGTTCTGTCAAGCCTACTTCAGAGCCATATGTCTGAAGTTTGTAACTTCAGAGCTCAGACCCAAAACTACAAACAAAACGTCTGAAGTTTGCATGCTCCAAATTGATTGACGTTTGGTTGTGTCAAGCCTAGTTTCAGACCCATATGTCTGTAGTCTGTAACTTCAGAGTTCAGACCCAGATTTTTTAAACTTTGTTGGCGTATCAAAGATGATTCAAAAGTGGATAAACTTACAAAACTTTAAAGCTTCGGCTATGCCTTAAATAGGGGTCCCAAAATTGGGCCATCTGTACACTTCCCCCCAAAAAAAATTATGAGACAATTGGGCCTTCTAAAGTACATCCATACATATGATAAAGGATCATGAAATATCAAGACACTATATATAGGATCAGTTCTCATAGATCAATAATAAAAAATGCTCAGCAGAAAACATGCAAAACTACACACCCCAGTATAACAATCAAACACAAGGAAAGAAGAAACAGGAAAAGTTTAGTTCAAGTTGTAAATAAACTTTGCACCTTAGATAACAAGGAGCAGCAAGTTATGGCTACGACTTTTTCACCCTGTTCACTGCTGTCATCTATACATCGAAGAATTGCGTCTATACCACCATTTTCAGCAACGGCTCTGCATATATCATCCTGAATCCAAAAGTGACAGCAAACAATTAGGAATTATGGAGCAACTGAGTCAAAGTTGCAAGTCACTAACTACAGGAAAATTGTTATAAGCATTAGTTTGTTATTAGTGAAACCGAAAGGCAACTACAAAACTTACACTTATCTATAAATAAAGGTTGTTATCTGCTTCTATCACTTGCAAAGTTCTAAGGACCTACTTTGAAACACTTCAAATGTGATGGAAGATATCCAACTTTTCACTGAACCTTCCATAAGATATTCTTACCTTAAGGGGGAGTTTGGTTTGAAGACAAGTTATACGAGGATTATAATGTAGGGATTAGTAATCCAGAAATTATTTCTTGTTGGATGTGATTGGTTAATTGGACAAAAATTGGAGATACAAGATTTGATTTTGAAGTGTTTATTTATTTTTTATACTAAAAAGTATCGAGTTGACAATTATTCTCTTGAATGCATGACCTTCATTGATTTCTAGGAAAAAGATAATGGTAGTTTTGTCCTTCTGCTACTTTATCCATATATACTTATACATTGATTCGATCCATGTTATTGGTGGTATAAAATAATACACCAATTGATGTATTAAGTTATACAAGAGTTAAATTATACATGATTCAAATTACAACCAAGCATTGGATAAAGTTATAACAAATTATATACCATGATTATTTTCTGAGTTAATTTCTCAGACGGTCACTCAACTAACAACTTCTATCTCAAAAAGTCACTCAACTTTGTTTTGTAACAGAAAAGTCACTCAACTTTGTTTTGTAACACAAAAGTCACTCAACTAATGACAATTATCTTAGAAAGTCACTCAACTTTGTTTTGTAACAGCAAAGTCACTAAACTATAGTCATTTCACCTCCAAAATCACTCAACCAATTCCAACGACATTTTCGGTAGATATTGTTGGCAGGGAAATTTTCAAGTCAATTTTTTTGGGAAAGAAAAATTATTTTAATTAACCATTAAATTGACCCGCTTTTTGTTTAACCGGAATGAACCACTTTTTATTTTTTAAAAGTTTGGCTTAACACCTTGTTTGGATGGTTGTTACTCGTTGTATTGCATTGTTAGTTTAAATACAATGTTTGTTTTGATTGTTACAGAAATTGTATTGTTTCGCATCGTTTAAATTCATTTTTAGGTAACGACGTATAGACCCATTTTGTGTAATGATCAATTTAGTGTGATCGCATCGTTACCTTAATATTTTTTTTCTCATTTTGTCTTTACTTATTATTTAATAATTTTATTTATTATTAACCCTACCTTTCATAGTAGCTCTACCCTGTATCCTACTTTTCTTGTAGGTTTACCATTCAAATTATAGATGTGTGACATTATATAACGACGGAGAATATTGTGTTTGAATTGGTTGAGGGACTTTGTAGATGTCTAGATGAAATGACAATAGTTGAATGGCTTTTGTGTTACAAAACAAAGTTGAGTGACTTTCCAAGCTAAAAATTATTAGTTGAGTGATTGTCTGAGAAATTAACTTTTGTTTTCCTTATACATCATACCAAACAACCCCTAATTGTGTAAGCCAAGGTAGGCATTGTGTATTAGGACTAAGGTGGCAATCATTCAGGAAAAAGATGAGTGACAATAAGCTTCTGAAATGATTGATTAACATCATTTAACCTACCCCCAAGTTTTTCTAATGGATCCACAATTAAATTAAAAGTTCTCCCTATTAGCCACGGGAAGTTTATGCAAGTCGATAAGATGACCTGTGACAAAAACCATCTCCTATTTATAAGATTTATAAACCCATCTAACGGGATTACTCAATTGATGACAATGCTGCAGGAAAAACTTGGTCAGCTACAGCCAGCACAGATCTATATTATCATCAACAGTTTATCACTTTCAGGGTGGGCATGTGCACAGATATAAAAGAGATAATGTACTTATTTTTACTGTTAAAGAGTATATTGACTCCAGAAACAAGTGTTGAAAGATAATTACAAGAGCGTTACATTCCAAATTCTGTAATGAGCTCAAAATGTCAACTATAATAGGGATGATAAATTTTAAATAGATGCAAGGAAGATTTCAGCTTAAGGAGTTTAAGAATGCTTATATGCAAAGTGCAAAGTATTTAATTAACATATTCCTTGTGTCTTCAAGTTATTTCATATATTATTCAGTACTTACATTAACAGCAATAGCTTTTAAAGCAACACTTGCAGACACCAGACTAGGCGCCTTGATCCCATCATGAAGTGAATCAACAAGTGCTTCAACAATTCCTATTTTTGCAAACCTTCTGGCATACCCATAAACCTACAGTTAAGAACAATAACATTTACAGAACGTCTCACTGTTTAGAGCATGCATTAGAGCAACGTAAGAAATTCAATCATTGCTGATATAGCCATATACTTTCTTAATTATCCAGGTCTGCCTACCTTAACAATTCAACCAACTCCCAGCCCAGTTGATATCTTGATAAACCAGAACATTCACAAATCAATAATAACTGGATCTAGGATAAGCAGTTAAAGATCCATTATTAATACAGCCTCCTCCATTAGAACGTATAAATGGTTTATCTGGAGTCAAGGATCATGGATCTGTAGTTCAATCATTTGATCAGCAATACTGGATCCACTAAAAAATATTTTTCTCCACAATATGAAAGTATAGTTGCTTGAGAATTAATTCGAACAAGCTTGAGAGTAAATAAAAAGATTCATTCGAAAAAAATTGACATTAGAAATAAGAAGAGAAGTTGCATATCTTCACTTTTAAAGAATAACCAAATAATAAAGGAAAACTGGTCAAAGCATTAAATCATGAAAGCAATCTGTGCCATTTAGTTTGCCACAAAAGAAGTTAAATCTAACAATTTACTTTGTACTTCAAAGTACCTTCTTGGTTCTATATTTAATAAATTTACATTACCTATCAAAAAAGAAAAACTTAAAAATATTGTCTCAATATGATGGACAACTAGGATAATGCAACTCTTATTAGGTGATAAAATCAGGGTTGTCCAGAAATATAAAATAGTGAGAAATCTTCAGGTTTTCTATAGTTCATGTGGTGAATGTTTGAATTTCTTTGGTCATACGTGATTGATCGATGCAACCATACAACTTGATCAACTCACCCAGTAAATAAAGTGGTGCTTTCGGGAAATTATTATAGACTAGTCCAGGTCACAGGTCCTATTTATCCTGTTCAGTCAAAAAATTAGCCTGATCTGAAACTTATTATGGAACAAAATACATTGCGTGACTCTGTCCATGTGAGTTATTCCACCTGTATCAGAATTCTGATTTTGATGAGCAATTAACATCAAATAACAATAACTACTATAAATGTTCACTTACTTCAGAGGCCACAACACGATTGTCATCAGAGGTTAGCAGGACTCGTACAGCATCATATAAACAAGGAATACTCCCCCTACTAAATTCTCTTAGACATTGAAGAATCAGCTCATCAATTTTCAAGTTCATAAATGCCTCCTTGAGGACCTCATTCCCAGTTGCAGCGGCAGAAACAACAGCGAATCCACTGTTCAAGATGCTTAAGTTTTCTTTCCTATTGTTTAGGATATTCATAACCATCTTTGGACCATTAGTCTCCCTAAATATTTCAGTGCTCTGTAGATCTGCACACAATACAATTATGCATATTAGACATTTTCCATTGATGATATCAGCTCTCCCATCTACTGAGAATGCAGAACTATCCGAAATTTCAACCAAAATAATACGAAAATCAAATTGGCATTGTAGGAATATGAGAGCCCGTTTGGCTAAGCTGATTTAAAGTAGTTGATAAGTATTAAGTGCCAAAAAATACTCAAGTGTTGAAACTAATTGAATAAATAAGCAATTACGTATTAGAATAAAGCGCTAAAATTGTTAATATACCATTGAAGTGCTTAGTATAAAAGTGTCCATATGCACTTTTTTCTGTTTAAATGACTTAAACAGCTTTAAAACCATTTACACTAATAAAACATGATTTTTACAAGATTCAACATTTCAGATTGAAACAAATATAAAATAATTTACCTCTCATTCTTTGTTGATAAATATAAAAAATTATTTAATGAAAAGCTAAAATTTGATATTAATAATTTGAGTAAAATTTGTTAGTAAAAAAACCTACTTAAATAACACAAAAAATAAGTGCATAAAAGAAACAAGCACTTGACATCAATGTTGATAGACTCATATTCTTAACTCTCCACTGTCATTTCTTCTTACCTTTTTTTTTGTTCTCAGCAAGTGTATAACATATATGTATATGAGTTCTTCAATTCAAATATTGCAAAACAAAATCCTTTAGCACAAAATCAATCAGATCACTTTCAACGTACAGAGCTTCTTAAGAACCTTGATTGCTCTTGATGGTACCCGGGCTATGACAGAAATCGTGTAAAAGGTGAGGGAGTGAAATCATGCACAGGGTTAGGGGTTTCATTGCAGTAAGGATATTTCAGGGATATGAATTAATACTAGGGATAAAATAGTAAAAAAATTTGGTCAAACCAAAAGTGCTTACAACCTGAAAAATCATAAGTTGAGAGTAATGAACTTCTGGATTTTGGCTTGTTTAATTTATAAGCTACTATTAGTATTTTTAATTCTATTAAACGCATAGATAAGCCGAAAAGTGCCAACACCCTCTGAGTCATGTATGTCATTTCATAACGAACTACAAAGTAGGATGTTGACAGATTTCTTTTTTTTTTTATCATTATGATCTTGAGAGATTTCTGCATCACAAGTTTCAGAATAGTACACCAGCGCACTATGCATAATCTTTTCATTCTCTATACCTGCTAGTGATGCATGAAAGGTGTACATAAATGCTGAAAGATTTGCAACAAAAGAGTCCTAGTGATCCAAATAATGTACTAACATATAATACTTGATATGAGAAGTATGAGCTAGGATTTGCTTACAAACCTTCATTTTATTTTGGTGCTAGATGCATGCCTATAGTAAATTACAACAACTGAACGGGAAAAAAAGGAAACAAAATTGACAAATCTAACCTAATTAACGGCATTTGTAGTAAATCACCAAAACTAAAGTGTTCCATTAAAAACAAGAACTAGAATCATAATTTTCAGCCAATATAAAATACTAAGAAAATAAGTATCATGTACTGAAAACCTGACAGCTCGTGACTTAGAGAAAAAAAGGATGTATTTCATCATGCATCACACTATCTATTATTTCTTCTTCTTTAAAGTAACCAACAAGTAACATAATCAATCCCCAAACCCACAGAACACATCAAATTCCACTAACAGTCATTCCCTCAGGAAACATTATTGTATATACGTAATATATGTATCATACCATGAAGTAAGGAAACCAATGTCTTCAGAGCTGAAACAAGGCCCTCGCTCCCAAGTTTACCGCATATCGAACACACCAATTTTATAGCACCATTCTTAGTTGCTATAGCAGCATTTCCTGATCCATCAACATTACACGCATCATTCAATTTATCTAACCATTCAATAATTTCCTTCACATCAGTCTCATCCCCGCCTCCCTGCTTCCAATCACGATCCAATTCCTTCAGCTTCTCAAGTGATTGAATTACTGGATTTTCCTCCCCAGAACCCAAAATGCTAGTCACAATCCCTGAGTGCGGACATAAAACAGATTGAAGTAAGATTTAGTCTTTCACAATATTTACAAACTGGAGCATTTATAAAGCCCAATGTCATCTAATCTGGTTACAGTTTTACATCTCCGTTTCGCAATAGACATGAAATTTAGAGAATCAAACAGTAATTTTTTTCTGTAAAAGATGAAATTCAGTAATCAGTAAACAAATATAATAAAAAGGAATATATACAGAGGTAGTTGATAGTAATTACTACAAATGCAAATAATTTTAACAGAGAATACCGGAGAGATCAACGCCTTGGAGAGTTAGGGTTTGAATAGCGTCTTCAAGGGCTTCAGTGGAATCCATTCCAAGATCTTCAATATTTTCCTTCACCAATTCATCGAAGGCTTGTTGAGATATTGAACGGACGGATTTTGGTGGAGCCATATTTGCTGCCGACGGAAATCTGTTACTGACGAGTGCGACAGGTGAGAGGGAGATCGCCGGTGAGAGGTGAGAGTGATATCTGGAAGCTGAAGAGAGAGGGCTGAAAAGATTATACTTAAGTGGATTGGAGTGTGATTATAACTATGGAGCTCTTTTCTTCCATCTGAATTTCTTCTTCTTAGTTAAGGACCAAATTTAACTAATTAAGCTTCTTTGATTATCTGTCTCTATACGAGTTAACAAGTTAATTTGCATTTTACAGATAAAATGTTACGATCATTTTGTGGGTTGTCTTTCTATTCGAGTTAGTTGTTGATTTACGAGTTAGGATTTGTGTTAAGCATCTTTACGAATTTCTGAGCTATGTATTTGCATTTTACTGATCAAATGTTATGATCTTTTAGCTTTGTTGTTGTTTTTACGATTTAGAATCTCTCGGTTAAGCTTTTACACAAATTTATGAGTTATAGGTACGCATTTGTCACGATCCAATTTTTCGAGTCATGAAGACACCTACTATAACCCACAAGTAGGTAAGTCAACCCCGTACCTAGAACGACAAGTAGTGAGTATAAAGGTAGAACTAGACAATAATTACACTAGCAATAAAAACAAGACAATAACGAAAGCAAACCAAAATCTATATACACTAGAATCTCTCCAGAACCTGGAAGTCACGAGTACAAAGTTATCTAGTATGAACAAATACAAGTCCCAAAAGTGGACCACAACAAGTCGTCTCAAAGTCAAAAGACTAGCTAAGCATATATACAGAAGAATACAGGTTGATCTAGGACGCCAAGTGCTCACCCTCGTCTCTGATACCCAAAAGCTACAAAAGATGGTGTCACACCCCGAGCCTACACCCTGAGCGGGACTGACACTCGAACACCATTACTGGCCTCAAGCGAACCCTTGGCCTGACTTACTGACTCAGCGGAAGACTCAAAACATTAATACAATGATCAAATGGACTTACTCAAATAACTTAGTCAAATAGCTTAGAATGTTTAAAAGTCAACATTCAACTTGGCTAAAATGGCAACTCAAGTCTTAACATATGAAATGACAATGTAAAGACATCTGACTACTAACTGTCTACGAAGCCTCTAAAACAAAGAGGGATGTCGGGACATGACCCCCGATCATCCTAACATCTGAAAGACTAGAAAGCAAATAAAGGAGTCATCTGGAATGCAATGAGGCTCACCAACAGACTCTGAATGCTCAAGCTGGATCAACGAGGCGTTGTATGCTGATCCTGGTTACCTGCGTCTACATCATAATAAGATGTAGGCCAACTGGCATCAATACATTGAATGTACGAGTATGCGAGTTGAAATGCTAAAACAAGATATAGGCTTGAAAGGATTCTGAAAGAAAACACTTACCTGACTCTTCTCAACTTCTGAATAACTTAACTCAAATATAAAGAAATGAAGCACATGCAATATAAATAAAGCTTATAAAACAGTTGCAACCAACTTAGTTCGTTAAAGATAAAGAAGTAACAAACTCAACTTTACTCATATAAGAAAATAATATGGTTTCTGTGGGAGATTCTCTA